CAATAATTCAAGGGTTATAAAGAACAGTTATTTTTTGATGTAGTGTTTTTCTGAGCTAATGTTTTGTGCCCTGTCTGGCATACACAACTACTGGCTTCTGGAACCTTTTTAAAATTTAGTGCTTTGATCTGGTTTCTGTCAGTGGTCAAACTCACTCAGAGGAATTGCTCTGCCTTCTGTTACACAAAGTATCTGCAGACACCCTGGAGAGAAGATACTAACCCAACTAAGCATAAATCAGATTTTATTTTAACCCTCTATATCCTGCAGACAATGGACTTTCAGTCCATTATATACATTTGCTTAGAAAATCCCTGCCAGGAAATCAGTACAAAATATATTTAATATTGTAAGGAATGGCTTGACCTCTATTTTTAATATATTTGGTTTTAGTTGCGTGTATAATCGTTTAATATACTTACCAGCTGTGAACACCACACAGAATCCCCCAAACAGGTCTAAAATATTACTTTTGGGATACATAACATGGAATACTTCGAGATGTGAAAAACAAGATACTGTGAACTGACAGATCTGAAGTATGGTTTACTTGTAGATTCCAGCAGTGTTGATAAAGCCTTACATTGAAATAAATAGATTTACACATTGAAAAGATGTAATCTGCACAAAAGGCCATTGGTTTCAAAATGAGTAGGTAAGGGTTTCTTTTTTTCTCTTCAGTGAAAAAGCACGATCAACTCAACTGGGTATATATTAAACCCACCATAAGCCATTCCAGTTTTCACAAAGAAGGGCAGTGAAGGCCTTTCTTTCCTGAAGAGAAAGCGTGAGCAGATGTTCAGTCTAAAGACCTCTTTGTATCCATGGAGGAAATGTGGTTAAGAAATCAAAGGAGGCTTCTTTTATTTTTTTATTGTTTGGCTGAAAAGGTTAGTCAGACCTCTACAGGCTTCTCTCCTGATCTCCGTGATTCGATGCCGCTCAGAAGGAAAAAAGAAAGACCCATGTTGTCACAGCAACACCCTTGTGCTTTTCAGTAATGTCTGTCCAACCTGTTTATCTGAAACCCCTAACCCATTACCATGACTAATTGTGAATGTCTTGTCTGGAGAAGCTAGCCTCTAAATACCCAGCGTAAAATGAAATACCAAATTCTGCTCAGAGTTGCTTACCATTCAAGGCACCTGTGCAGTACTGTACGTACCGATGTGCAGCAATCCCCATTCACAGGAACTGATTTTGTTTCATTGTGAAATTGCATTCAACATGTTGGACTGTCTTAGTTATAAAATGGTGTGCCCTGTCCTGATTTCCCTTAAGTATGTTAATGGCAGCAACCTTGTTCTATTGAATGGCAAAGTGGATGTTAATTCTTGTTGGAACTAGATAATAAAATTATTACAATATTTACCGCAGGATCTTCAATTGCAAGATCTGATAGCACTAACTTGTTAGATATAACGTTCAATATATTTAATACAAATGAAAAAAATAACCATTAAAATTTGACTTGTGTCTTGCTGCATAGTGTAGTATGCACATGTGCTGTAATGTACTACATTTATAAAGCACAACCTGCAGTGCTTTGTGTTGCAAATGTTTTCAGAAACACATTACTGGGAATCCGAAATCAATATAATATTCCCTATTTTTTCTCTGTGGGTTATTTTAAACATTTTTTGTCATTCTTGTGAGTATTTAAGGAGGAATCAAAAGTTCAGGACTTAAAGCTTCAGCAATACTGGCACTTCTCAAATAATTTTGGAAAAACTCTAGGTGATGGTTAAAAAAACTGAAGGTGCCAAAGTCTCTTTTAAGCTCAGAGGGACTCCCAGTTTAGCATCTGGCACAGGAAAAGCTGTGTCCCAGATTCAGTTTAAATTAAGCTTTCATTTCTGGGTAGGAGTTGTACATTTCGTTGCATCCGAACAAAGTAGGACAAAGTACAGGCTTCAGTTATAAACATGGGTGCTGACGGCAACTGCCTTTGGGATTATGTTATAGATCAACTAAAATTATTGTGTAAGTGCAAGATAAACCTATATTGACAATCCTAAACCATCATATCATAATGGATCATAAACCACCACGTACATGCCAGAAGAATTCATGCTTGGCAGTAGTTCCGTAGAAGGACTTTCATTTCCATGGGCTTGCCACTAGGGGCTGCCAAAAAGACCCCATGTTGCGTAATTAGCGATTTTGGTTATTATAGTTTCACTAACTGTGTAAGGATTTGGAATGTACATTCTCACGTGGTTTTGTGTAAATAAGGCTGTGTCACTAGGAAGAAGGTGTTCAGTTGTAGGCCATCAGGAGATAAATTAATGCATTATAGAGAATATAGTAGGAGCAGATCATGAAATACAAGTTACCTTAGAATGGTTTATGTGCGTAGGTCCCTGGAGCCACATTATCAGAAGCACAGGCAAGTATATACAGTACATGTGGAGAATTATCAGAAACGTATCAGAAACAAATCAACGTTTGTGCAAAACTGTCTGGAAGGTCATGCGAGGCAGTTATTGGAGTGTGATGTGCAGTAACTGCTGGGTTCAGTATATCTCTAAACTGATTAATGGGACCACGGAAGTAAAAAAAGGAAACCTGGGCTTTGAAATCTGTGCATGGAATCTGTCACAACAGGTGTTGGACAGTGGACAGACCCAGGAAGGAGAGAGAAATGGTGCACCACTAGGCAATTCTGTAATTTTCTCCCTTTGTTCTCAAAGGCTGAAGACTGGCACAGCAATGGCACGTAATCTTAGAATTACAGTTCTCAGAAATGTAGCTGATGGAGAAAAAACACACCTGGCCCACTGTTTTTTCAATTACCGCCCCCGCGCCCAGTAACTGAAATGATGGACTTGCAGATTGGATGACTGAGTGCTGTGCAGTCATGAACACTTGGCTTGAAGAGAGGCTTTACTGAAGTGTCCTACAGTTTATACATTACAGTTTGTTTCAACAGAACTTGAAATACATAATTTGAAGTCTTTTATATGTTTTTAAGACATTGGTAACTCCCTGTATTCATCAGTATTTCATGATTTTCTAATTTCCCTTTTCCAGGTATCTTTTTTAAAGTAGAATTTCTTTGGGGAGTAGTTTTTGTGCCACTTGATGTGTTTTTTTTAGTTTTGAGAGTCCCATGAAATCATCTCTCCAGAATTAAAAAAATATCCTTTTACTCATCCTTTGGGGATTTAACTCAAAAGTCAAATTAGGTTTGTACTTGTTTAAGTACCATTTGAAAGTACATCTACACGCTCGTTTTAAAGAAATGTTCATGTTTTAAGTTTGTGTTTTGGGAGGTCTCTGACAAAACAGGAGACTTAATTTTTTTCCTTAATGCAATACATGGAACTTTTGCCACCATGCAGGCATAACATAAAGCAGAGCATTTATGAGTAGTGAAGTGAGCATAAGGTTCTTGAGGATAAACACCATGAAGACTGCAGAAAGTGCTGACATTTCTGCTTTGGTCTGTTACCATGGAAACTGCTTGTTCATGCCTAGCAGTGATTCACAGTATGATAAGATATGTCTGGGCTCTGAAACCTTTTCTGAACTGGCATTTGAACCAATAAACAAATGTATTCTGCCTTCGCTATTTTTGTGCTGTTCTTCCTGTCATTTATTCATTTTTTCTGGCTTTGATTTTAATTTTACTGCCAGTACCTATCTTTACCTGTCTTCCCCAAGAATCTCCCCTGTTATTGAGGAGCTTGTGTGTCTTTTTTATGTCTGAATAACTGTAACAAGACAGCCGCTAAATATAATGAAAGACAAGATTAACAAGGTACGCAACAAAACAATGAAAGGACTACTGGTAAAGTATTCTGCATGGGTAAGTAATATAACAGATTGCCATGCTGGTGGCATACTTCACAGTCTAGACATGTAGATTGCAATTTAGTCTAAAGAACTTGATGTCTGATGAAAGCCGTTACATATTGTACCTTCAAGGTTCGCCACAAAGGTTTTTGAAGTTTTTGTAAATGGTATCTTTGTGTTGTCTGTTGAGTTATGATGTTTGCAGAGTAGTTATCGGAAAGTGTCTGGGACAGAGGACAGAAAGACCTTTTCAGGTATTTTTCCCAGCCTCAAAATGGAATGCAAGGCGTCTAGTTTCTTAGCCGGCCCTAATTTGCAGCTGTGGAAAAGAGACAATGAATACAATGTGCTCTTCTCGGAGTGTCGCCATAGCAATGCACCTTTTAAAGACAAGAGTGTGAAAGAGAGTTTGTCCTCTTCAGCATAAGTGAAGATTAAGGTTTCTTTGTGAGAGAACTGCTTCCCTATGCAGTATTAGTAATGTGATGGTTATTGTTTGAGGACTGGCAGAACACAGGAAAGCACATCACACCACCCATAGGCGTGTTATCTTTTAGCTCTATACATTAGAAACCATTCTTAGATAATCCTTTTTACAGAAGATTCCCTTATAGCCTAGAAAAACCTCAAAACTCAATGGAAATGTTTCCAAAAAATCTTTGAATCCAATGTCAAGATTTGTACTGACTGGGGTAAAGTAGATGAACAACTTTCAGAAGGCCTGTTATATTTACTTGGAACAAATAAACATGTTAGAACGTGTTATAAATTAAAGAAGCTGGAATGGAGTAAGGATTGGTTGGTTCTGACGGGGTCATGAGAAGGTTATGATGTGTCATACAGCTGCAAAAAATGTTCTGGATAAAGTAGTGGAAATTCAGACTTGAGGGATTGTGGGAATTCATTACATTACTGTTTACTCTGGATCAAATGGAAAAATTGATGTAAAAATGTTAATTAAAACAAAATGAAAGATGTTTTCAACTTCAAAATGATAGGATTGCTTCCCATTCAGTTGTATCTATAGTCTGCCTTCTAAAACCGCTGATGTGAATCACAGTGCACTCCAACTTCCAGCACATGTACTGTATAGTACTATGATATTAGTTCATCATGGTTCACTCTTATTTAATTGATTTAACTCTTCACATTGAAAATGAAAGCACCGAAGCTGATGTGTCTATATTTCTTTATCGTTTTAGATCGAATTGCTCTGTGGGGGAAGAACTGCTGTTGGCTTCTGGGCTCATATCTGTTTTTTGCAAAAGAGACAAGGAGTTGGATTGTTTTGGGGGCTATGAAGAAAAATCTTACGAAGAGCTATTTATTCTTCATTTAATTTGTTATGCCTCATTGTTTTGCTAGCTATTTCTCTGCCATCTAATCTCACAATGTCATTCTGTGAGAGGTTATCTTTCTGGAGTAATCAAAAGGCAGTATTTCATTAAATAGCTTTGGCTTTATTTTTTTTTATTTCAACTGGATTTCAGACCCAGAGACCAGAACAAAAACAGGTCTGGAACATTAATTCTAGGATGCTTTTTTCCTTCACCTGTTTTTTCTCCTGTTCTTTGATTATTTTTTTTTTAATTTTGTGCCTTTAATCGTTGAAGACCTGTAATGTTTTCTAAATTTTTATTTGTGGAGTCCATTGCTAATAGTATTGCAATCATTGAGGGGAAATTCCTAGAAACTAAATACCAGATTTGCAGCTGTAGGAATACAGTACCTGATTCCTTGATATCCACATTTTTCAGAGAAACTTCTACTCTGGTTAACTGAATTGAAATAGTCTTGTTCATCTGCTTAATGAGGCTCATGCTACAGTGAAGAGTAGCCCAGGAAGGCTTATTGCTAAATCTGGATGAAAAACCAATTGATATTAACAAAAACACAGATTAGTTTTCCTCTTGGCCTACCCGCAACTCCCTTTGCTTGGACATAATGTCTCTGCCACGGATCAGAGTGGAGGAGGCAAGCGCAGCCACAGAGGACAGCCCTGCTGTCCCCGATGATCACCTGAGGAGCCTGAAGGCCCTGACAGAAAAGCTGAGGCTGGAGACAAGGAGGCCCTCCTATCTGGAGTGGAAGGCCCAGGTTGAAGCCCAGAGCTCCAAGGACCTCAAAGCCCAGGAGGAGTCAGCAGGACCTAAAGAGGAGAGGAGAGGCGGGGAGGAGATGCTAGGCACTTTGAGGAGATCCAAACGGCACCTACTTAGCAGTGCTGTTGTCAGGGAGGAGAGCCCACCCACAGGGACCCTGAAAGGCTTTGGGAGCATCGACGAAGCACTCATCTGGCTCAGGAAGGAACTGGTAAGGCCTTCCTTGGGGATCTGTTAAAGAAGTAGGCTGTTTGTTTGAGTAACAAACAAGATAACATCTTTAGATGGACAGGCAGGGCATTTGAGATATATCTTTATGGTATAATTACTGGTACAGGTATTACTGTGGAAAGAACTATTTGATATCTAAAGTTCACTTCCATGAATAGTGCTATGCCAGAATAAAAGGGTCTTTCCTCAAAGTACAACATATAGTTTAGAGGCAGGATTGCTGATTGTATCCACAGTATATTTAGAAAATTCTAAAATATTTGGAAACACTGTGAGATATTGTTAATTTTTCTGCTCTTTGATCCCTAGAGTCACGATTTTGTGTACTTCTCAATATATAACACTCCTGTAAAATTTAGGATATTAGGGTTTAATTCTGGACCTGGGGCACTATCTGTGTTCTGTTTGTATGTTCTCCCTGTGTGTGAGTGGGTTTCTGTTGGTGCTCCAGTTTCCTCCCACAGTCCACAGACATACTGGTAGGCTAATTGCCTTCTGGGAAAACTGGCCCAGGTGTGGGTGTGTGTGGGTGTCTGTGTGATCCCTGAGATTAACTGGGGTCCTGTCCATGGCATGACCTGTTAGTGCCCATTGCTTGCCGCGATCACTTGTGACACTGTAGTGGATAAGGCAGTTAAAAAATGTATGGAAGGATGTCATGCATTATGTTTGCTGACATTTTTGTTTATGTTTAATTTTCAGTGCATATTTAGAATAGCAGACACACACCAAAATACAGTGTATTCAGGCACAAGTAAAAGATTATTCCATGCTGAAAGAGAAGAAAGGAAACGCAACATTTCGGCTGTGGAGCCTTCTTTGGGTGTGTTATCATTGACGCTGGAAGAAGACTTCACAGCCGAAATGTTGTTTCCTTTCTTCTTGTTTCAGCATGGAATAAAGCTTTACTTGTTCCTTTGCAGCCTACGCATGCTGACGCAGCTACCTACTTGAACTGAAGTATATACAGTACATATATAAAACTGTTATTAAACTATATTCTAAAAAAAACCCATAATAGTTCTGCTTAGGATAATGCTAGCTTACTTCTGTTTATGCCTTGTCTACAATAAAGGGAGGTGCTTATGAAGACTAGACCTAACAGTTTATGTCCTTCTCTTTTTGTATTTTTCTCCTCTCCTCTCATGCTTTGCCATTTCCTATAGTTCTATCCCATGACAAAAGTGGGAACTGACCCCAAGCATGATGTAATTGGAATGCAAATTTGTGAGATAAGGTTCAGATTGATGCCAAGGATCCTTTATCCAGGGCCTTGCTAAGTGGAAAGACCTTTGTCCTTGCTGGCAAAGACAGCATCCTGTCGAGAATCAATTCATTGCCAGAGACCTTAACCTGGTCTGAGTATCTGGTGAGGAACACATAGAGGTTAAATCCATGCAGAATTGTTAAAAGAAAGAAAAATATCATAATGTTTAAGCTTTTGAGCCTTTTTCAGAGGAAATGGCACAACAGGTGAGAATGTATCCAGAAGCAATGAATATCCTAAAAGTATTTTGGATATATAACAAGTAGTAATTTCTAGAGCAACTCCAACTAAGAAACTAAGAAAGCTGTTCAACTGGAAGGTTGTGCATGTTGCTTGATGATCTGTTTTGAATGCTGGAATATTAACGGTATTTATTGATGTGTACACAGAAAATAAGACTGAATATCCTGCTCAGTGGTGCTCTTGTAAGCTGGTAAGCTGGTTGCAGTACGAAGGGCAAGGAGAGAACAACCAACAGAATCCTATGTTATGTATTTAGTGCAGGGTGTTGAGCCTTTTTATATTTAGCTGTTTTTATATTTCTGTTTTACTGAATAAAAAAATGTCACTCCCAATTAGCACATTTTTTATCCAGACTTTTGACCGCTTTAAGTACATTGCATTTAAAAAATGCTGAGAGCAAAATAACTTGGCCTGTAGGCCTGTTGTTTTATGTCTTTCACATTTATATCATGTAAAACGTAACTAAATTATAGCCTAGTCTTGTTTGATTTATGACTTGAGTCTGTGTACTTCATAACCCCATTCTTCTGTCCAAATCCTTCTTACAGTTAAGTATCCTGGGGAAAGAAAAAACCAAAAGACAGAGTAGGTCAGCAAATGTTAAACCCCTGCTAAACCACTTAAGCTTGATCATTTGATGCTGTAATTTATTGAGGGTTTTATTTTTAAGAGAAAACACTTTCTACAAAGAGCTGAACAAGTCTGTAAAGTGATCATAAGGAAAATCTTGTCAAAATGTCCCTATATGCTCTTATGTTGGCACATTTTCTGTCCTAGCAAGGCATAAATGTGAAGCTTTTGGCCTGCAATAAAAATTGCTCCGGTCAACCCACTGTGTGTGTGTGTCCTGAAATTGTGAAGAAAAGCAATTTGTCTGTCTTAATCTTCCTTGGGTTTAGACTGTAGACTTTTTCCACATTACATCTGTCTTCAATTGGAAGAAATTGCCTTTTCCTTAAAGGAATCTAATTTGGTGTCTTTATTAGTTACATTGATCATCCACAGACAAGATCATCAAAGTTTTTTTCAAAGTTTTTCAAGAAATCATATAATCTTGGTACAGATGGTATAATCTTTGTGCTCACAATTTGTTTTCTTATATTAAAGGTGTTTGGCAGGAATACTTTATTTTTGTTTTTGGAATTTATTAAAAAAAAGAGATCTTTTATTGATTTCAACAGAACAAACCGGCAAAAATGCAATAGTTACCATGCCTGAACATAATAGTAAACGTTAATTTGGGAAATGTTATTGAGTTAAATCAGTAAAGGACTCAATGACACAGTCACATCCAAGAGTACATTGTCAAACAAGGTTTAACAACAAAAAATATTAAATATATTTTTGTAACTGGCTCTTGATTAGATTTTTATGGAAAACTATTTTAAATAATGTACTGGAATAAAGTCACCCATGTTGTACAGTTCTCTACTTTTTTGTTACTCTCCTGAAATAATATTTTCGGCATACTAGAGTACTTAATACTTAACCACAGCTGGGGAAGAAGATGTGACCTTGTCAGAATTATAAAACTGTATAGAATTGTGGTTTCAGACAATGAAAGGTTGTCCTGTAGATCTTCTTAAACATAGGAAATTTTGGGGGTAATATAATTCATGTTCAAAATTGGACACATATAAGACTGTAGATTTTTCTAAGTGATCAAGGAAGTGTTGGCAGATTCAAAAGAGAGGATAATAAATTGCATATATATGAAACCAGAAAACATAGGAGTGGACTCTTTCATCCACCATTGAAATGTAGTACTCACCTGAGTGATGCGTAACAGCAATTATACATCAGGAGTCTCCCTAGCTCAGCAGGTTAGGCAGAGAAGTGAGAAAAGAACTGGAATTGAGCCAAGACATTGGGGTTAATCTTAATCTTATAAATGGTATCATGTGATCTTTAATGACCTAAATATCCTAAGATCTTTGCAAAGTGGTCTACAGTATGTAGAGCAAATTGACAATCCGCTTGTTTACTTGAATTATTTAAAAGCGGTATATAATGTTATACATTACAACCTAAACAAAGTAGCAGCAGGATTATATTATATGCTTTATTATTTACCCATACACAAATGAAATGTAATACTAAGGTCTAATGTATTTAAATATACAGAGAGGTATTACAGTACAGTATCCTGTTATAAAACTGACCTTTCCAGAAGTTTACAGGATCAATCATTTTGTTTTTATGCTAGACCCAGAGAAGGAAAAAAAAGACTAGTTGCACTTCTTATTTATAGTTTTATTTAATAACTGTGACCTCTCTGGTTATTTCATTATTGTCGTTACAGTTTTGCTACTTTTGCTTTAAATGAAAAGGGAATATTTAATAACCCATCAGCATTTAATTTGAAATAATGGAATCCTGAAAGAGGGTGGCTTGGTGGCACAGTGGAAAGCATTGCTGCTTTGGAGTGTTATTGCCCTGGGTTCAATTCTGGATGCTATCTGTATGGGCTTTGAGTGTTCTCCCTGTGTTGGATTTCCTTTGGGTACTTTGGTTTCCTCCGATAGTCCAAAACATACTGGTAGGATATTTGGTTTTTGGGAAAACTGGCCTGTGTGTTTGTGTTTGTGTTTGTGTTTGTGTTTGTGTTTGTGTTTGTGTTTGTGTTTGTGTTTGTGTTTGTGTGTGTGTGTGTGTGTGCCCTGCAATTTAACTGGTACCCTTCTATGTGCCAATTGCTTGCTGGGATAGGCTCCAGCCCCCTTGCAACCCTGAATTGGAAGACGTAATTAGAAAATGGATGGATGGAATAATAAAACCTTATGAATCAATTTTAAAAATGGAGAAGCTAATTGGAAAAGTTTTATTTTTAATCCCTCAGAGTTTAAATAACATATTGTTTTTTTCCCTATAAAAAAGTTAGTTTCAAGATACCTGTAAATGACCTGTAAATGTTAAATGAGTGACTTTATTCATACAGTATGTGTATCTTTTGTCTAAACTTTATAATGGATGACTGTATAGCTTTAACAAAAAATGTGCCCAATGCCATTGTTCTGTACATCTCATGGTTCTGTACAAAAATGGTTGTACATTGAAAAAAAAACAGAAGAAATGTCATGTTAACTGAATTTCAGCTTCAACAGCCTGTGCTCAGTTAGTGCCATACTGCCGCCAAAGACAGTGTTCAGAGACAAAACACAACTGAGTAAAAACTGAGTGCAGACCTTTCTACCAGGCAGTTAATTTCAAAACTCAGCCTGACCCTGGTGATAAAGTTTGAGAAGGCTTCCAAAATTCACACACTTTTTAATTTTTAATTGCCAAATGAGTACAGATAACTTTTTCCACTACATGCTGAATAATAGAAAACAGAAACTATGTTTAGGCTGTTGAGCCTTTCTCAGGCTTTAACAGCCAAAATATGTTGTGCTTCATTCTATTTTTAGTGTTGAATTAACCTTTACTTGTTCCTATGCAGCCAACGCATGCTGCCTCTCCCCACTGTGAATTCAGTCCTTTTCCAGGCCAGGCAGAGTAACTGTCAGCCATGGTGATAACTATTGGAGCTCCAGGGGAATAGTTCATGGTTATGGAACATGTCTGCTCCCACAGTGAGAATACACAATGGTCATCATATTTCCGTGTGTGTTTCAGACAGAAATGCGTCTCCAGGACCAGCAGCTGGCTAGGCAGCTGATGCGCCTGCGCAGTGACATCAACAAGCTGAAGATTGAGCAGACGTGCCACCTGCATCGCAAGATGCTCAACGATGCCACATACGAGCTGGAGGAGCGGGATGAGCTGTCTGACCTGCTCTGTGACTTCCCTGTCACCCCTGGCTTCAGCCTCTCCACCCCACTCAAGCTCATTGGCGTTACCAAGATGAACATCAACTCCCGTCGCTTCTCCCTCTGCTAGTTCATTGAGCACGAGAGAGGAGCCCAGCTTTGCCAGAGCTAAGAGATTTCTGTTCTGTGTCTCTGCTGAGGGGGATTCCCCAGTTTTCCTGCTCTCTCATTCCTGGAAGAAATGTCTAAAATCTTGCGGTTGCCATCATTGTCAGAGTGCTCAACCTGACAGCTTTCATCGACGGAAGCCAGTGTTTCACTTTTTTAAAGCTTATTTTTTAGATTGCTTAAATGTGTTATTTCTCTGCAAGGCCTTAATATTGAATTAATGTATTATGTCTTTTGTTAAGAGTTTTAAATGAAGCTTTCCTGAGGGATATACAGATGAATTTTGCCCTAAGAGTGACAATCTTAAGAACTTCATTTTGCTTTAATAGTGTGTGATTAAGACTTGCTATGACATTATGCTTTTATTTTTTTAATCACTGAAATATACTTTCCTTTTCCAAATGTAATTCTAAAAGAAAATAAAATGTGTATTATTCTGACTATTCATCAATAAGTGAACAAAATGTCTCTTGTTGGTATTCTTTGTTGAATTGCAATTCCACACATTACAAAATTAGACTCCTCTTCAACATGAGAGTTGATAATGGGTGTCACCAAAGAATAACTTTGTCACGAAATGGCAATGTTTGTCTAGGTTATTAATCAAAATATTATGCAAGTACATAATACCTTCTTTTGTACTTTTGAAAATTACCTCAGTGCTATTAATCATCTTTTTATATTCACAATATTCGGTGTCAAGTGAGTTCAGGGCTGTGGCCTTGAATGAATGTAAAATACCAGGGTTGTTAAGAATAAGGTTACTTAAACACACAAATGTAAATTGTACTCACCTCACAACATTAGAAAATTACAAAGCCATAGAGCTCTCTACAACCCATTAGTCATATTATATGGCTAAATAAGAGTGCTTAAACTGTCCTGTACAAAACTGTGAAATTACTAGCTGAACAAAAAGCTATAAGCATGGTTACATTCAGCCCATCTTGCAGTTTTTTTTTTTCAATAGTTGATTGTTTGAAGGATCTCATCCAACTGTCTAGGGTCAGGTCAGCTTAATTTCTAGCAACCAATTGGTCTAGAGGGGCCAAAAGGCTTCCTCTAGCTTGTAATTACTCGTATGTTATCATGTACTGATGTAAAAGTTATCAGTACATTTCTTTTCTTTTTTGTATTTCTTTCATCTTTAAACACAAAAAGGTTTGTGTCGGCCATGTTTTGTAAAAGCAACAAAGGTGTGGGACAGTGGGATTCACAGCAAATAAGACAAGTTTTGGTTCAGGAGGTTTTCCATCCTTTAAAGGACCCTCCCAGAGGATAAATTAGACTATTTAGTGAGCCAAGGAGGAAGAAAAAGAGAAGGTAGAAAAAATAAAGGTAGCAGAAGAAACAGAGGTCTTATTGTGTACTCATTTATTTTAAGTCAGTTAATCACTCACAAATATCCTCTAGTTCTTAAACCTAATGGGGAGACCTACAGTCCACCACCAATCCTCAGACTTCAAATGTAATAAGTGCTCTGTAAAACCTATTAAAATACCACAACATAGCCATGTGAAATATCTGTTTTTTATGTCAAGATACTGCCAATATAATACTGTACTATATTGTTTTCTATTCGTTAAAAGCTTTTTAAAATATATAAGGTCTACAGACCTTTTCAATTAACTTGTAACCTAAAACTCTTTTTTTTTTAAAAAAAAGCACTGAAAATCAGTAATTAACAGTCATCACCAAGACTCAGGTTGCCGGGAACACATCTAGGATCGTGTTTGTTCATGTGTGAGAACCATGTGTGGGTAGGACTTGTGAACTGATTTGTTATTTCAGCAGTTTTCACCAGTACTATACTGTATGTTGGAATCCATGCAGACTAGACTATTTTGAACTGAATACAAACAAATGTGGAACTTGACGGGTTTCACCACTTTGTTACATACTGTATGTGTTTTTATAGGAAGCCTTCCCTTATCCATCCCACAATAGAAACCCAAACAAAATCATCAGCTGATGTCTTCCAGGGTAATCCGGTTCCTCCTCTGTCTCCATGGAACTGAGCAGTAGATCCAATGAAACAACCACTTCTTTGGTCAGCTGATCAATATCCTAGAAAATGCTTCTTTTTACAAGATTTTTTGTAAAGCAACTTATAACAAGTTTTTTTTTCCCATCAGCTGCTGTTATACAGTACAATACAACAGCTCAGCTGAATAGAGTATAGAGCAGGGACATTGATCCCAAATACCTATGACTTTTACTCAGTATCTATATAAATGGGCGCTCTGGAAGCATTCATTTTAATTTATCTAGGCTACCATTGTTTTCAAACAATACTCCCTGGTAAATACATTTCACTGATGAAATCATTCATTTCTCATTTAAGAATGCTTGCTTGAAAACATACTCACATTAGAAATACAATAGATATTATGATGCTAAACAGGAAAATAAGACGCGCATAAGACATCCATGATATTGAGCATTTTTATGAAACAGCTGTAAGCACACATACAAAAGAGAACCCTATCATTTATCCTGTTTATAAAGAAAAGGGTGCTGGACAAGCAACTGAATCTCAACTGTAAGTATTGCAGATACATGCTGAGAGATGGTAAATTGAAATGTTCCAACAAACAAGAGCTTCAAGATTTTGTTGTATCACATTAGAGCTCTGTATCAGCTGTACTGAAGAAAGGTTAAAGTATTAAAGAGCTTAGAACCACAGCTGTTCTAAATAGAATCAATCAATATTTGAAGCTCAACATTAAAGGCATTAATGACTTTACACTAACTGGCAATGAAAGAATTACTTCTGATTCTCAGGGGCACAATAATCAGCTGTTGATCAGCAAACAGGAATAACTGAGGAATCTTACCATCAGTAGTTTGAAACTAGGTGATCCAGTTGAACAGGAAAAGAAAAGAATGGGCAAAAGGAGGAAAAACAAAAGAGTGAGTTATACAGTACATATAGGCAACTGCGAAGGAGGTTACATTCATAATTGTGATACGTAGTTTAAAAACACTTGTTGAGCATAATGACTTAAACTGAGCTGTGAGACTTACACATCACAAAAATGGATTCTTCAATTTCCATTATTATTTAATATTGTAGTGACATAAAAACTTTATTCCAAAATCTGAATTATTAAAGCATTGTCTGTTTTCTGGGTATACAAATGGATGTTGATGCCCTTGACATTCATTTTTATAACGACACAAATATTTGTTTAGAAAGGGAAACAGTTTAGGATACGTCTAAAAAAAACTTTTCAGATATTTCCTGGAAACAGCACAATTGTCTTAATTGATTGTCAGAAACCTAGATGTTTGCTAGTCTCCAGAAATGCTTTGTATTTCACTTGAGAAAACACTGGATGGAATGATAAGGCAGTGGCAGATATGTTTTTAGAGCACTGGTAAAATGGGAAATTTCTGTCTTTGTACATAAGCACATCAGCACATGGACTACACATGGAGTGTAGTACTATTTATTAAACATAATCTACTGCCTTTCATTTAGTGCCTACCTCAGTGGCACTGCAAATAGTTTGCAGTTGTTTTTTTTCTACCTACCAGAATTTTTTTTTTACTTGTTAAACAAGTAAGACCTGCCTGACCGTTCAGCAACAGTAATTGCCACACCGATTAGGTGTAAACGGTGCCTTTCACAATTTCCTTTAAATATATCTAAGACACAGGGCTCTGTAGGAATACAGACAAATCCTTAAAGAAATTCACAGATATAGAAGAAAGAGACTGACTTGCATGTATGTTCAAAGTAGTGTGAAGAGTGCATTTTAAGGCGCGTAGAAACACAAGTCTGCACTTGCAAATATTTCTCTAATTCCTTTAATGTGAGTGCAATGGAGATTTCATGGAACTTCAGGTTTGGCATCGTCATCTTGGGCGACTCTGCCGTGGGGAAATCGTCTCTCTTGCATCGGTACACTGAGGGTACCTTTGACGAGTCCAGGAAGTCTCCACTGGGCATTGACTTCAAAGTCAAACACCTAGACTTTGACCCTGGGGTGCTGATAAAACTCCTTCTTTGGGACACAGCTGGGCAGGAAAGATTCAGGTAAGTACTAACTGAACAGCAGCATGTCACCCAAACATCATCAAGCTGATACAGAAATTTGCTTTAAAACAAAAAAAACCCAACCATGAAATGCTATTTACCTTCTAATTGACACTCATTAAAGTGTTTAGACAGAAAAAAATAACTGCAGATTCCTTCAACTCATACATCACTGTGCAAAAGTTAAGAGAAAAGGGTAATATTTTTTACAAGATACTATTGTATTTCGATTTGGATACCGTGTTTGTACTGCTTGGTTAAAATGCATTAAAAAATGTTTTAAAAACCCAGATACGAATTTGCAGACTAAAATTCAAAGAGCATTTCTTGTATAATGTAGTTTTCATTAGAGACTCATTAACTGTATAAATAAATGAAATGGAGCTACTCTACACTAACTAATTAAAACACATTCATTAAGACTTTGTAACACACTAAAACAAGGTTATAAAAGGTTTTAAAAGTTATATAAACAAGGATATACCGTACAGAATAATGCAGTTTCAGAGAAGATGGTCATTAACATTTTTCATCAGGTCCTGTACAGTTGCGGCTTCCACTGTCTAATATAACCAATTCAAACCACATGTAAAATTTTAGGCCTGGTGGGTGGGTGACATTTTAACAAGGCGGACAGAACAGCAATGTTTAATACGAAGTACCAAATATATTTTTGTTTAGTTTGGACTTTTAGAATATTTTACATCCATCCATTTTCTAACCGCTTCATCAAACGCAGGGTAACGGAGGTGCCGGAGCAATTTCAGCAAGCAACAGGCGCAAAGTGGAACACACTCTGAATGGGACATTAGTCCATCTCAGTGCACACACGGACACAGACATGAACACACTTACAACAAGATCAATTTTCCCAGAAGCCATTAGCAGTATGTTTTTAACTGTGAGAGGAAAAAAGAGCACCTAGAGGAAACCCACACAAACACAGAAGGTATTGTACATAACTCCACAAATACAACTGAGGTCCAGAATTGAACCGGGGACCCAGCACTGTGAGGCACCAAATGTTGCCTAGATTTTACATTTTAAAGAATATTTTGTACATTTGTATCACTTTAAATCTGTTTCTAATGCATACAATTAAAGGAAAAATGTTTCTGCAGATCACAACTGTAACTAGTAATAAAACATACTTAGTAATTATGTGTAAAACAACACACACATGCATCTGTGTTTCAGTCTTCACTTTTTGGTCCTTTGTAATTTTTGTTTAATTTGCTTTAAGCAACATAGTTTCATCACGTTATTAGGAATTTACTCCATCTTGTTCATATGTTCACCAAGTCTGTTTGGAACGCAGATCAATCTCCAAATCCTACATGAGGAACTCGGTGGGCTGCCTCCTGGTGTTCGACATCTCCCAACGGAAGACCTTTGATCAAGTGAGGAGCTGGCACAAGGAAGTCGTAGAATATGTCAAACCCGCCACCATGGTCTTCAGCTTGATTGGGCACAAGGCTGACCTTGAAGCACAAAGGACAGTGAGTAAAAAGGAGGCAGAGGAGATGGCCAAGGAGCTGGACATGACCGGTTACCTGGAGGTCTCCTCCAAAGACAACACAAACGTGGACCTTGCCTTTGAAATGCTCACCAAGGAGATCTACAGCCAGTTTTACCAGGGCAAAATTCCAATGCAGGAAGGCTGGTATGGACTGACTGTTGGGACTCCTTTGAAACTAGAACAAACAGAAGTGAAGGAAACAACAAAGTCAGGTTGTGGCTGTGGGTGAATTTCAAAGGGAATTTGCTGAATTGTAAACCTTAAAGAGTTGATGCCTGATGTTCAAACACTTAACCCCTTTTTTTTGTTTGTTTTTTTTACTGTATTTCCTTAGGTGCAATGTTTCATTTTATTTCAATATGGTACATACTAGTTCATTAATTAACTAGTCAGTGCTGATTCCATGACCTTTTTAAAGACTCAACATAGTTAACAAAACAAAACATTTTTCTTTGGTTAAGTTCAATCAATCAAAAGCTTGTAGGCCTAACAGGTTTCCCATTTTTGTATTGTTTCTCAAGGCTGCTGTTGTTTATGATGGCAATCTGATTATTCATTTAATAACCTTGAAAATACATTTTTGATTTTTTAACAACAACTTTTAAAGGTAAGACTCAGAAATATACAAAAGCATTATCAAGGCTGGGCTTCTCAGCAAAGGCACTTCAGAAAGCTCTTTTATAGCCTTTTCCAGCATACAATGTTTACAAAATAATTTTAAAAATATGCTAAATTTGGAAAATGGATAGCATACCTATTGAGATAAAAGAGGTTTACCTTATTATTTAAAATGTGGGAACAATTCCTTAAAGGAAAGTGTGATTTAGGAATTCACAAACAGACAAAAAATTACTTGGTGACTTATACTGTATGTGATGTGGTGCATAGTGAACAGTCAGAACAGTGGAACCAATAGATATAGTTTAGCAATCAATGGTATGCGTTATTGAAATGTTATTTAAAAGGTGATTAAAATATTTCAAATGTTTCATGACTCTGACCTGGTTTCTATCACCAGCAGAACCTGGTTCCTCGACAACTCACACCTCATTCAGAAACGTTCATATCTCTAATGACAAACAGTAATCATTAATATTCAGCAAAATAATCTTTGCTAAATCAAATGTTTATATTTATTAATTCAGTAACACCTTAATTTTCCCAGATTATTTTGTGCTATGGTTGCTAAGCAACCATATCAGACCCAATTGCTGGTTAGAGTCTGTCTGCTTACTCTCTTCCTTTGTGGGTAATCTGAATTCACACCCAGGACAGCAGACAGTGCCAACCAATTGGCTCTGTGAGTGTCTACCAGGGCTATCCATGTTAACAGTATCATATGTGCTTCAGACGTTGTTCTAAGAAATAGGAAAAGCTTTTTTGAAATTGTGTTGCTCTAGTACAAAACAAGACCCTGCTTTCTGAAAATAAATCAATATGTTTGAAACCGAACAGAAAGAGCAGCAATATGAGCTGGTTTGAAATTAATTCGATGCGTGTTCCATTTATTTAGTTCCAAGTCTCAATTACTTACAGTACATTTATTTTAAGTATAATCCTGCACCTAAAAACTTTTCTGAAAGAGACAATTGTTTAAAAAGTCAAGTCACACAAGTTCTTGGTTTTACTTACAGTGTGAGAAATCAGTTGAGATGGAAATATTAATGAACACAAACATGATAAGGTGAAGTAAAAACAGGAAGCTAAACAATCAAGGTTTAGTTATAAAAGGGTGTCTTCTGATTGGTTGTTTTAGAGATATTTTCACACTATGCCAAAGCTATGCAATGCATCATAAAGTATTTATTATACAGCTTTATGTGTGTGGATACATCATGGAGAAGGGCTATATAAAGTTTGATAAAACTATTGATATTTACATGGAAGTAAGCAAATATGCGGAGTATCTTCAGAGGGTAGGACTGAGAGGACACAATGGCTACACCCCTGAATTGGACACTTATCCACCACCAAGAGGCCAACAGAAGGCATATCTTCTGGATTATGAACCTGGAGAAAAACCACTTAAACATGGGAAAAATGTGAACAGATACAAAGAATCAAAGAATAAGAGAAGAGGTTTATTTATTACTTTTAATAGTATTTAATTAGATTGTTTATTAGTCGTATCTGTATTAGCACACTTATCCAGGGTGATTTACAAATCTACAATGTATTATTCTGGACTATAATACTAGATGAGGGTGAAAGTGTACACAAGTGTGAGAACTATCTCAGGTGCTGCCTAAATAGTCTTGTCAAGATGCCAAAAGCTAGTCAGAGTTAGCTGAGACTGAGAAGTTCTGATTTCAATTCCACTACTGTGGAGCCAAGAATGAGACTGAACGAGGGCTGGAGGTAGGGGAAGAAGGAGAGGTCAGGAGGGGGCATAGGGAGAGATGAGGGACAGAAAATGGAGCCAAGTTGTTAAGACAGCGGTAGGCAAGAATAAGTGTTCTGAAACATACAGTATGCATGCCAGGACAGGAGGCCAATGCACTGGCCAGTCAGCCATCCAGAATGGGAGCTTCAATAGTCTGGGCGGGAGAGCACCACGGCAGAATAAGATGTTTCTGTAGATAAGTGGGCGGCATAGTGGTGCGGTGGTTAGCACTGCTGCTTGACAGCACTGGGACCCTGGGTTCAACAATGGAACTGTGGTGTGATCTGTGTTGAGTTTGTGTTTTCTCTCCATGTTTGTGTGGGCTCTCCCAGGAGGCTCGGGTTGCCTCCTGCAGATCAAAGACATTCTAGTAGGTTAATCGGTTTCTGAAAAAACTGGCCCCGGTGTGAGTGTGTGCATGTTTGTGTCTGTGTGTGATCAACGATGTACATCTTCCTGTCCTGGGTGTATCCAGCCTAGTGCCCTTTGTTTATTGGGTTAGGCTCCAGCTGCCCCCTGACCCTGAATGGGATAAAGCAGAAAAAAAACGAAATCCATCCATTAGTGTGGAAAGGGATGTTCCTTTGGATATTGCTCAAGAGAAATAAGCCAGACAGGAAATGTAATGAGAAGAGAAGAAAATAAGCTCATGTCAGTTGAATCTAGTAGGTTGTTCTGTACGCTCATATATTTTAGATTAAAAATGTAATTAGATCTTCATGATTTTAGAAAAGGCTGAAGATAATCTGATCAAACATTTAACAGAAATGCATGAGATATATATGTAGATTATGTTAATTTCATAAAATGATTCAAAAGTACAGTAAATATCCTCATGTAAGCTCTGGCCCCCCCACATCTGTGTACTGGATAAAATGGATTTTGAATCAGCAAGTAGTGATTTATTGTACTATTTCCACTGCAACATAAAAGCATACATAAGACTTACAAATAAATATGTTCATGTACAATATACAAGGAGATGCAATGTAGATATTAAAACACATGACCAGATATTGTTTATATCAAGAATTGGTAGAAGCTCCAGGTTGGTATGGGTAAATTCCTCAAGGAATCCCTCAGATCGTGAAGTAATCAAGTTACAGTATGCATGAGAATGCTTTCAAATTGCTTTCTTTTCCATTAGTGTACATGGCATGAATACAGTAAGCTAGCTTTTTCCAACGAATTCTAGACTGTGGAGCAATGAATTTTATTGCACATACAGTACAAGTGGAATACTGAAGAATACGTTCCCACAATCAATGGCAGTGTATGCTGAACACAAATCTAAATCATGCTGTTATGCACCAAGACTTTCCATGCATTCAAACCATCTAAATGGACACAGGCAGTGCTTACATTGAGCTGACGCAAATCCTTCAGTTATGTTTAAGATTGGTTTAAGGTCCACTTAGGATCATTCAGGGACACCTCTAAAGTCTTATTTGTCATGATATGTCATTTACCAAACTGCCCCTGGACGGGGCACCAGTCCATCGCAGGGCAAGTGCAAGCCAATCATACATGGGGACAATTTGGAGACCATGGTAAAGGCCGAGGGGGGGAATTTGGCCCCGACACCAGGATAAATATTTGTTCCAATAGCTTTCATGCTACAATTGACCGAATTGGCAAACTAACTTTATATATTCAGTCAGCACTCAGTATGTGCAGAAGCTAGGACAGGACCTGGAGACCTGTGGGTGAACCTTTATGACAAGTAAGTTAATATCCAGTACTCCAAGCAATAAACAATATGACGATCAAATTAAATTTAAAGGCATTCAAGAGATTCTGCAATCTCTGCAAAAATATGTTGAGAAACGTAATTACAAGGTTAGTACAGGCCATTTCTCTTTTCATATTTCAATTAAAAAGAAGCAATAGCTGTATGGCATACCGTGTTCATCAATCTGCACAGTACATTACTGTAATATATTTTTGTTTTCAAAATCAGGACAAGGGTAATTACTGCAAGTTGTTTGTTTCATTATGTGCCTGTAGTTGTGTCGAGCACAGCTAGGATGTTAGCAGATTTTAAATTAGTGAGACAATAATATGTTATTTTCTTCAAGGTTAGAATTTAAATTACAGTCTGTAAGTCTGTAAATAAACATCACTACTATCATGAATGAAATAAAAGGACTTCATGCCTGAGTAGGCAAACTGAAAACATTTCTTGTCAATGTTAACAATTCTGTTAGACATTCTTTCATCTTTGTTTTGTTACTTTATAAAAAATGAAACTCATACTAAAACAGGCACTACACAGTACAGTCATACAGGGCAGGTACATAGTACAGTCATACAGGGCAGGTACTACACAGTATACTACTGAAATGAAAATAATATTATTAATAGTTTATTAATTAAATACTAAATATTATATTTATATTCCAAAAGTAATACTGATAAGTTATTACAGTACATATACATCATGTGTATATGCATATATTGTATATCCATATAACATATATCAGTACAAAAAATAATAGATTTCACTCTAAAGAAATTTCCGAAAGATTTAGCTACAGAAAAGCTTGTAAGATGAAAAAATTGAGGCCACATCTTCTGGATCATTTCTAACATGTAGAGACTTCACAGATGACTGTGATTACTGGTTATGCCATATTGCATCAGAATCGGCCATATGTTTACACTGCAGGACTGAGAAAATTCAGCTTTCCCATCTCTGACTGAATACCAAGAAAAGCAAAAATATGCTCATCCCAAATTCACTTCTGATTCATTTTTAATGTTTTCCAAACATTTATTTGGGGGTATTTTTAAAGTTGTTATACATACATATACAGTACATTTCCAAAGATAATAAACACCATAGAATTAAGTTTCAGATTAAAACCATATAAATCTTGCATTCTCTCAAATTCAACAACAAATTAAAAACGTTAGCAAACAGTGACTGAACATTTGTATCAAAAACAGGACTGTATAAAGGTTACTAAAATAAAAAATGGAAGTTCGTAACTGAGGTTTGGGAGGGATAATGTCAGACAAGACCCAGCTGTTTTAAATCACTGTACTGCCCATATCTATGTCTTGCACTCACTGTTTCTCGCATTTTTTTTACCTCATATCACCTCCACCTCATCTCCATCTTTGCAGCTACCACTTGGTTAACTCCTCTTTCCGAAGGAGGGTTGGGTCCTCCTTGTCCTATGGCCAGAAGGCTACCTCTTTACTAAGTGGGTTAAACTTAAACCTATTACACTTACATACTCAATATATGTTACAACGCGACACCCACTAGGAAGGTGAGGGCAGGCAGGGGGGTGTTAAGGACCCAAAAGCAAGGGGGTTATAGTCCAGAGGTAGCGGCCAGTGCTCTGCAGAACGGACTCCACTTTGGGAAAGAAACTGGACAGAGGGTAAAGAACAAGGCAGAGCTGGTTGGTCTGCACCTGGAGCCTGGCCGGACAGGACATACATCGTTGGTACAGTCCCCTAGGAGGTGCATCAGCAACCAAGCTGAATGGGGCCCACACTCTCAGGAGGGTCTCTTCCAGACACCTCACCAAGCACGAGCTGTCAGGGCAGAGTAGTAGATTAGGGTAGTAGTAGAGGAGTTTATTGCCATATGAT